AAAACACACTTTGTATGACTTTGACTTACAAAAGTGTTGTAATCACTTGGAAAAAAAAATATTTTCTCCTGTTGGGTGGAATATTCTGTAATTGTCAATTAGATCAGGTTGTTTCAGTGTTCATATTCTTACTGATTTTGTGTCTGTTCTATAAAGTCTTTTAAGACATCTTTACCCTGCTCTTTGATTCTTAGCTCTGTAATTTTACCCCCCTTTTTCCTTTTTGTATTTCAGTTGGAAAAAAGTGCTATACACTTGTCTTCTTCAAGTTCAGTGATTCTTTCTTTTGTTATTGCCAGTCTGCTGATAATCCTATTGATCATCATTCCCATTGATTAGAATTTTTCTCTGATACCGTGTTTTTTTTTATTTCTTACATTTCCATTTGTCTCATTTTTATAGTTTTCCTCTCTTTGCTAAAATTTCATATTTGTTCATACATGTTTTCCACGTTTTTCTTTAAAAAGTTAAGGTTATTGTAAAGCCTTTGATAATTCTAAAACATGGGCCATCCTTGTGTCATGTTCTATTGAATGCCTTATCTATTGAATACAGCTCATGTTTCCTTGCTTTGTATGTTTGTGTGTGTGTGATAATTTTTTTTATTGATTGCTGGATATTAATTGTTTTTCCCTGTATGAACACTGGAGACTGAAGCAGATGTCTTTGTGCTTGGTAATGGGCATATACCTCTCTTCCAGTTTAATAGGCCTTTTTTGGGGGAGAAGGGGTTAGTTGTTGAGTCAATCTGTTCTGTATTTGAGATGGGTTTGTATTGTTATATAGTTATCTTCAGTGCTCCAAAGACTTCAGATTCCTTTAGCAGATGATGCTATTGAGAGGCCTGGAGTATTAAGTGGTTTTTCCCCAATGTTCCTGCTTCACTTTTAGTTTTCAGTAGGCTTTGCTGGCCTATACCTGGTTTATTTTCCTGCTCTTGTATATAAATGACTGTTTGTTGTCACTCGGTGCCTGACTTGTGAGGACTGTGCATTTTTCTTAGTTTTCCTCTTCAAGCCTTAATATTAATTGTATTATAGTATTAAAAAGACTCTGAGCGCCTGAGTCTCAGGGATGGGTTTTCTCTCAGTGGGCCTGACCTCTCTCTCGGTAGCTGAATTTTGCCTTGCATGGGTGGGATGTTTCGGCAGGAGCAAGCTTTTCTGGTTTTTACCAATGTAATATTCTTGGCTCAAGGCTGTTTCTGGTCGCTTGTGTAGCTGCAGATGACTTTATTCTCAAATGGTGTTTGCTTCATATCAGGAAGGGCCTGGAAAGCAGGAGAGATTTAATGTATGTGAGGTTTTCTCATGTTTCCTACTCTGCCTCCAGTCATTCCTGTGAATCCTGACAGAAGCCTGGGAAAAAGAACTAGTGAGTGGGTTTGGGATTCCTCTTGTCTGGGGCTTTCAGGGATTCTAAACCGTCACAGTAGCCTACACTTGGTTTTTAAGAACATTTGTTTTTAAGAAACAAACTTTCAGTTGTTTTCTTTGTACTCACTTTTATGGCTCCCACTCTGTCCTCTTATGGTCTCCCATAGCTGAATCAGTTCATATGTCTCATCCTCCTTTGAAGGGGCTTGGCATTCGGTGTACCTGGTTTCCTGGAGACCTCAGCCCTTTACGGTGACCTTACCAAAAGCCATGATTTTATAGATTGCCTGCTTTTGTATTATTGTCAGGTTAGAAGTGACATTCTCTTGCTAATTTTTACATTGCAAGTGAAAGTGTAACTCTTTTAAACTAGACTTTAAAAGTAACTTTAAAGGAGCTAACCACTTAGAAGATTATGAATATAGATCACTAGAATGAATGAGGGGGGAAGAAACTTTCATAATGTTGTTCATTTGGTACTTGTAGTTTGGGGTAACACCTGTAGTTACAGTCTCATGAATAATTTGAAGTATGCTGTAATTCAGAGACAGCCCTGAAAATAATGGGAACGTGTTAAAAGACTTAAGTATTGGCTCTGATAATGAAGATGCTGGGATATAAAAGATGCCCATAACAAATTTGGGCAAATTTTCTTTTAAGAATTGTGACTGGGAAAAAAAAAGCAGTATTTTAAATTCAACATATAATTTTACATAAATGATTTCTAACATGAATAAATAAGTAATAAATTATACAATATTAATAAAAATGTTAGATTGCATCTCTATCCCTGAAAAAATCCCCCCCCCAAAGAATTTTATCTCCTTTTGTTTGCATCTTATTCACATACTACGTGTTACAATACATTTAAATTCTTTAAGCTTTAAATGATGATTGGGGGAGCTGCAGAAATCATTGGGGTATTGCTTTAGAGAGTCAGAGACTTTCTTTGGTTATTTCCTTACTTTTTGTTAAAGTCTCATTGAAATCTGCTCTGAGTGATTCTGCTTTTTCAGCTCTCTGACTTGAAGCTGGTTACTTAACCTCTGATGGCTTCAGTTTCCTTTTCTGGCAAATTGAATAAAAATGTCAAACTCAAAAATATACATCTCATGAGGTGTGTTTTGAATGATATACTCTTATGTTAAGAACAAAGCACAACACTATACAGTAGGGGTTTAATACATGATAGGTGATATTGTAAATGTTAATGTATTAAGTAAACAAAGAAATTTTTTATTTGGAGTCATTAAAAAGGAGTAAAATGAGTGAAAACCCAAGAAGTTTCATTGTCCTTTACATTCTCTGATTCATAAAAAGTTAGAGTAAAATAGAAAAAGGAAGTTACTTTGATTTACGCAACAGGTAATGTCGTATTATCTAGCCTTGCCAGCTCTGTACTTCAAACTGTTGCTTTATACGTACTTTCTATACAGGGATTGTCCAGTATATGAAGTTGCGAAGTTTGGTCTAAGAATGGAAAAGCTGCATTTACTTGCCATAAATGATGTATCTACAATAAAAGGGGAACACATTCTTTAACATTTTAAAAACCTTTTTTAAAAAGATGATTGTGATACTTGGTTTTCATTGCATCATTCCTCAGCAGGATTTGTGCTATCAGTTCAGCAAGTTGACTTTTCTTACATGCTGGGGTATAAGAAGTTTCAAGGCTATACATTTTTTTTTCTTATTTGAGCTTTTACCCATCGTTAGTTTATGGATATTTGAGAAAAGTTGAAATAGAACACAAATGTCTTATGTATATATACCTAAACTTTTCAATATGAGTACAAGTTTCAAAATTTTTTTCTCCAGGATGAATATATCACATATACAAAAAAAGCCTTTAGTTTAATATTGCCTTCCAAATTTCCAGCAAGAACGTAAGCTGATGTTTTGACATTGATGCTTGGAATTTATTTTCCCTCTTGAAAGGAATTTATAAGAAATCAGTGCTTTTAATCCATATTGAATTTTTACTTAGGCAAATTTCCTCCTCAGATGGCAGGTCATTTACACCTATGAGTGAATTGGAGAGCAATGTATGAATCTCAGACCTGTCCTGAAATTTTTGCCTATTTGGCTAAACTCTAGATAATATGGCTCTTAAGTGTCCCAATTTGCAAGCTCCCAACTTTCATAGTGTTGTAATAAGAGAAAAGAACGAAACAAAGCAGCAAACATCAAGAAGAGTATTACAGTTTTTAAAAAATTGAGGCAAAATATACATAGCATAAAATTGACCATTTTAACCATTTTTAAGCATACATTTCAGTGGCATTAAGTACATTTACATTGTTGTGCAACCAATCACCATCACCCATCTCCAGATCTCTTTTCGTCTTTCCAAATTGAAACTCTGTGTCTATTAAAACACCAACTCCTTGTTCTCTTCTTCTGCAGCCTCTCTAATTTCAGTCCCTATGAATTTGACCAAGGAGCATTATAGTTTTAAGGAAATGTAGGTATTCGAATTTGGTATTGCTCTTATTTTGCTCAGCTGCCCCCAGTTTAGAGAAATTACAGATTTTGAAGAATGAAATGGCAGAGAAGACAGTCATACGTTTGGGAGGAGAATCACAGATCTTGTTGCTTGTGAAATATACTTGAAGTTTTGGTTGTCACTTTTGGAAGGCAAATCTCCCTGTAAGTGTAGTGGTTAAGAGGATGTAATTGTGATAAAAGATTCTGATTGGATAAGCCACAACATATCCAAAATTTTGGAGACACACTTATGAATCCCAGATCTATCCTACCTGGCTCTGTGAAAGTATTTTCTGTTCTCTTCCCTGAAATGCAGAGATCAGTGTTTAGGGCCTCTCTCTATCCATGGTACACATGTTCAGTTCTTCAAAATAATAAAAACCTGTGAAAGAGAGGCATTTAAAACTGCTTGCTCAGAGCTAATTAGAGAGCATAGAGCCCATAACTGTTCTTTAGTAGATAAGGCACAGAAAAAACTTCTGTTTGTATTTTGTACTGTGCATCCCTGGTAATGCAATTCTTTGCTTGAAAAAATATAAAAAAAACCAAAAAAGAAACAAAAGTAAGACAAAAAAAAAGGTTACAAAATTTTATTCTGCTTGAGGGTTTGGGGAAAACAGATACTGTAGTTTTGGACTGCATTCCCCATGTCTGAGCTAGCTGTGGTGACAGGTTCTCAGAGGATCACGCCACCTCTCCACCTATCCCCAAGCAAGTTTCTCTGCTGTCTCTTTTGTTGTGTATGTTTATTTTTTTTTATTCCCTGTATTTATTAGTTCCCAGAGTTTCTACTTTCACTTTGTCTTTGGTTGCTGGTCTTCCTTTTGTGCTGTCTCAGCAATGCATTTAGAAATCCGTTTTTAATATTTTATTCATCATATTGGTTCTTGTACTTAGGATTGTTGTTCAAGATATCTAGCCTGTCATGGAATGGGAAATCTTCATATATGAAAAAAAAAACCAAACTTTTAGTATGTTAACCTCTATCCCTTTGGTATATCCCTTTCCCCCATTTTGCATTTCAGTTCTTAAAACTTATGTAGTAAGTTTTTATAAAGCTTACAAAAAATTAAAATACTTTTAAAGCGATTATTGTATTGATTATTATATTTCTAAAAATACATATATTTATTTTATAGCTACTTGAAGGGAATTTTGCCAAAGAAGTCAGCCATGAAATGGATGGACTTATTTTTCAGCCTATTGGAGTAAGTTCATGTGTGTGTGTGTGTGTGTGTGCGCGCGCGCCTATGTGCCTGTGTGTGTGGTGTATGTATATACATGTACACACATGCATGTATATATAAAGTACATTTTCCTCAGACATATTTACTTAGGATTGATTACTGCTATAATCACTGATTTTCCTTAAAACAAATTGTTCATTATAAAATATTTCATTTATACTAAATATATATAATAGTGAAAAGAACAGTTTTTGCTTTTCAGTCAGCTTAGGAAATAAAAATGGCTGATCTTATTTTTCAAAAAGGTTATTTTTTAATATAATTTTCTTATTCTTAGAAAATGAATGTTAATTTATATTCCTTTACTAGAAATCTACCAATAACATATAAATGGTTATTTCTTTCTGTAGGTCAATATGCCTTTAAGTATTAATATTTCTCAAACTTCATTTTGCTATGGATGAGTAAAATTCAGAGTTATCAATACTTGAAGAAAAATACAATTCTTTGAATATTTATTCCATGTCAAATTTCTAAACTTTCACCAACTTAATGGTCAAATCATACATTTGGAGTGAGTTTTGTTTTACATTGTAGCAGGGTTCCTTAACCTCATCCCCATTGGCATTTTGGGCCAGATAATTCTTTGCTGTGACGAGCTGTCCTGTGCATGATAGGTTGTTAAGCAGCATCCTTGATCTGTACTTGCTAGATGCCAGTATTACCTCTCCCTCCCACACCTCCAGGTTGTGACAACCTAAAATATATACATTCACTGCCTAATTTCCCCTGGAGAGCAAAATTGCTTTCATTTGAGAACTTGTGCTCTCTAGGGTAGAGTTTCTCAGAATGTGGCTTGTGGACAAGGAGCATTAGCACCATCCAGAAAGTTGTTGTAAATGTCACTCACCCTAGAAGTACTGATCAGAGAAACTCTGGGAATGGATCCAGCAATTTGTGCTTTTAACAAGCTCTCCAAGTGACTCTGATGCATGTTCAAGCACGAGAACCACTGCTGTCCAGGAAACAGTTGTATTTCATGTGCCACACCTCATCATAGGCTGCATTTTGCCTTCACTAATGCTATCCTTAGAAATTAGGCTATTAGCTAGTTGTGGAGTTACACAGAGAGACATCAAACTGGGTACCTGGGGAAAAGGGAAGGACACTAATATTTTTGAACACTATGTATTAAACACTATATTATATGTGCTTCATGTATATAGAAAAACTCTGCTGTTATGCAAATTTAGTTATATGTGATAGGTGATTGGCTTATGTCTTCCTTCCAGCCCCCCTTGCCGAACAGTAGAGGGAAAATCTGAAGTTGAAGGAGGAGGAGGAGTTGGAGGAGAGCATCGGCTTAGGGCTGAAATTTACAAAATACTTTTTAGGAAGATAGAAGTTAGATCCTTGAGTTTCAGTATTTTCCAGGCCTAATCTCCCTAGATTGAAAGAAATAAAGTCTAAATATAATAGTAATTACTATAGATTTCATAGCGTTAAACTCATGGTTCAGACCCATGCATATGTGAGATTTTGGTGGTGTGTAAGAGAAGTGAAGTCTCTATGATGCTTAATAGTCAGTTGACTTAGTTTGTTCACATTCTAGTAACCACACTTATTATTACAATGATTTTGTAATTGATATCTGGTAAGGCAAGTCTTTCTGTTCTTTGCCAGGATTTTCTTAAATATCTGTGGACATCTGGTTTAACATATAAGTTTTAGAATCTGTTTGTCATGTTACCCAAAAATTCACGTTGGGAGTTTAATTGGATTTGCTTTAAATTTAGATTAATTTGGAGAAAATCTATGTTTTCACAATGTTATCTTTTCAATGAATAAGATAGAGTTTTTTTAGGTTTTTTTCTATTCTCTAATCGAGTTTAAGTTTTTAATTCCTAGTTATTATTTTACATTTTTATAGCTAATAGTGCCCCCCCTCTTTTTTTTTTTAAAGATTTTTATTGGGCAATTGGGGGATGGGAACAGTGCTGGGGAATTAGGGGAATGGGAACAGACAAGTTGCTGTTCTTTTGTTCTTCAGTCTAGTTGTGGAGGACGTTGCTTCACTGGTCCAAGTTGGCACCATCATTGCACTCTTCCCAGGCGAGGCACATCAGTCGCCGGCTTCTGGATGGCCACTCACTGCGGCTGCTGGCCGCTCACGCTGGCTGCTGGCTACATACGGTAGCCCATGGCAATCCACTGCCACAGGGGCTGCAGCCTACGCCGTTGCCGGCGACTCACGGCAGCCCAGCCCCAGGTTGAGCTGTTGTTCAGCATCTTAGCTGTGGAGGGCAGTGTCACTGGCCCTCATATGTGGGATCCGAACCGCGGCCCTCTGGTGTCCCAAGCCAGTTCTTAACCATTGTGCCACTCGGCCGGCCCAGTGGTGCCCTTTTTATTTGGTATTTCTAATGTACTTTCACACTGTTGATTATTTTGTTGATTCAGGATCTTGCTGAATATTTTTAGTTCTAATAATTGTCTAATTTTTTGTATTGGCCATGACCTCTAGTACTGGCTTAAATATTGGTTGTCATTCAATGGAGGAGAGGGAGATATTTTTACCTTATTTTCAGCCTCATAGGGAATGTGGCTAAATTTGCTCCATTAAGTATATTTTTGGTAGATTTATTCAGATAACTTTTATCATGTTAAATAATTTTTGTTTCTATTCTTACGAAGTAGTTTTTCAGTCATAAGTAGCTTTTGGGAGTAAACGAATGCCTTTTCTGTATCTGTTGAGATTATTATGTCAGTTTCCTTTTTTGTGACATTCATGTAGTAAATTACAGTGATTTTCTCATGTTGACCCATCCTTGCATCTTGGTGTAAATGCTACTTGATCATGATATGTATAATTTTTAATATAACTTTGGATCTGTGTGTAATAGTTTCTTGAGGATTTCTACCACCTTATTCCTTATAGTTCTTTTCTCTCTTTTATTTGATTATGTTCAAAATAAATTAATATTGCTACACTTTTCCAATGCAAACTCTCTTAATTTTTACCCCTAATATATACTTTCTTAGTGTTGGCGGTGTTCACTTTAGTGGGAATTGACTGTCAATTAATAGAATGGCATCTGGCTGTAAGAAGGATGTGGTACTTAGTCACATATCTGTCCATTCTATTTAATTCAGTGGTTCTTTTGCATTCCTACTATATTTGTGTTAAATCTTCTAAAGAGTATTTTGAGTATAAAATGTATTAACGCTGCCATCCAGAATAGGCTCCAATTTAGTACAAATCCATTCTTGGTAAGCAGGAGGCAATTTTCTCACTCAAATGCAAAATTTCATTATATTCAACTGTGTAGCCATTGTTATTTTTTCATTATTTTGCTTTGCAGTTTTAATCTGATTTTTCTATTTTAATTTCCTATGTCTTTGGTTTAGGTTGCCATCACAGGAGTGGTCCTGTGTATTCCATTTTCAAACTTAATTTGCCAAAGCCAGTGGTGAGACTGCTTAGCTTCTACACCGAGATTTATGACTTTTCTACCTGTTTTTTAAAAAATGAAAGTTTTTATTCAATAGGTAAACTTTAATGACAATAGAAAACACTGTATTTATGATGTTCTACTAAAGAAAGCAGAGTTTAAGATATATTTTTCTAACAATTCATGACTTAAGATTTTTTCCTTCATGACTTTCAAAGAAGGAATAAAGTTTTTTCTTACTTAATTCTTTGGGATTAAAACCACAGTGCTTATACATTGTCATCAAGTTCCTTTTCTTTACCAAGTGATTCTGTGATCGCTGATGCATATAAAGACCTTCGTTTTCCTTTTTAGCTGCTCCAAGTCTTCTGTATAAGGAGGTAAGAAGAGAGTTGATTACAGACAGGTGTAGCTTCCAGTGGTGGGAGCAGATGTGATTTTAGATGGTCCCGGGACAGGGCACTAAATGGCATTGCAACTCACAATGAGAAATTTAGTCCTATCCCAGTTTTCAGTCATTTTTTCAGTTTAGAAAAAGAAAGTATATTTATTTCTAGTTTTTTATATCTAATACTTTCTTATCTTTCCTTTTTTCAACAAAATGAGTGTGGGCCTAGTTTTACACTATTCAAAGGGCAACATTATCTACTAGAATTAGGTATCATTGATTCATTTCTATCATATCTAATGTTAGGACAACTTACTATTTAGGGTAAGTGATGCCATTTTTCTATTTATGGTACAAATGGTGTACCATTTGGTATGAAGTTTCCCAGATATCTTTTGGGGCCATTTTTCAGACTACCACAGTTACCTAGCTTGATACGGCATTTTCAGCTAATAGCTGTAGACCCTAATACCAAGTGTAATTTCTGATTCTGTCCTTGTAAGATTTGTAAATTACCTTCCTTAGGCTTGCTATTTAAAGCAAATTCTGAATGAGAAGTTTAGGACTCTTAATCACGCCAAGAGCATTTAAATGTAAAATTTGCTAACATTTCTAAATTTTTCTTCTGGGGAAGTATACAACCTTTGGTGAGCTCAGCTTTAGTAATTACGTGCAGGCAGGGTAAATGATACTCTTGTGACAGAATAATACAGTAGATTAGAGGTAAACCTGTATTTTTTTTATCATCTTAAAATATATATGTATACATTTTTCACCCTTTATTTATTTATTTTTATTTATTTATTTATTTATATATTTTTAAAAGAGTTTATTGGGGAATTGGGGAAGGGGAACAGTGTTGGGGAATTGGGGAAGGGAACAGCCAAGTTGTTGTCCTTCAGCCTTAGTTGTGGAGGGTGCAGCTAGCTCAGCTTCAAATCCAGTCGGCATCCGGCCGCTTGTTGGCAGCTCGCGGCTGCTCAGCTGAAGGTGCTGTGTTTAATCTAAGTTGCGGGGGCGGGGAGCAAGGGTGCAGCCCACCATCCCATGCGGCAATCCAACCGGCAACCTCGTTGTTAGGAGCACATGCTCTCACCAGCTGAGCCATGCTGCCACCTGTTGGCAGCTCAGCAGCAGCTCAGCTCGGGTGCAGCTCACTGGCCCATGTGGGAATTGAACCA